TCGAGCGTGACCTCCAGTTTAAAGGAACGTCTTTTTCGGTTTGGTCTCTGGCTCTTGGCACCTCCATGGGCATCCGAGTTAGAACTGGGCTCCAGGGGGTTTCCAAGGGCTGTTTTTCTTTTTTTCAGAAGCTGATCAGCAGGCACCTCTGGGTAGACTCAAATCCAGTCCCTGCAATGGTGCAAGCAGTTGACGTGCTTAGCTGAGAGCCCAAAGGTTGGGGTTTGAGTCCCTCGTGCATAGCGCTGAAAACTATAGAGCACTATTTTACTCGAATGCACAAGAGTTGGGGCTGCCTAACAGTACACTGGTTTTAGGGAAGGCCACTGACTTGCACCCAGAAGAAGGCAAAAGCATGCCACTTGAAACAGGGTGGTGAGATGCCCACAGGACCGGTGGCCAGTCATCACCAAATCCCAACCCCTCATCAGAGTGTAGTCCACTGCATAACCACTGTGCCACCAGGGCATCGCACTACTCAGTAGCAATTCTCTGTTTTGCTGATTTTGTCTAGTACACGTTTGTACGCTGCAGCTCTGCGCCAATTCGAAGCTCTTCCCTTCTCCACCGCCACGTGTTTCCTTCTGTGCCTTCCCAACCATCCCTGCCAGTGCTCCACGCTCCAAGGTTTTCCGATCTACCTCTGGTCAGTCGAAAGTCAAGTTACAGTCAGTCCATCAGAGTCCTGAGAAGATACTGGTTTGTTATTTAGACAAACTTAATTCAACCGAGTTCACCCCGGTGAAAACAGCGTGATGTATAACACTGGGAATGACACTTGATCTGTGGCTGGGCTTTCTAGAACATTAAATAAAAGGAAAAGCTGGACAGAGGTGTCTTTCTTGGCTCTGGCTCTACTACACACGAGGGGGCTTGGCAAAATCCCACTGCGCTTCAATTCCATTTTCCACAAACATTTTGAAGCCCCTTAGATACTAAGATCTCTGACAGGTAAAAATCCGATTTTCTTTTAAAAAAAATCATTTTATTGTGGGCTTGTACGATTCTTATCACAATCCATACGTCAGTCCATTGTGTCAAGCACATTTGTATATTTGTTGCCCTCATCATTCTCAAAACATTTTCTTTCTACTTGAACCCTTGGTGTTAGATCCTCATTTTTCCCCTCCCTCCCTGCTCCCCCTTCCCTCCCTCCTTTAGTCTTTTAAAGTTAATTCTTTTACCCGGTTTAAAATGTTAAGGAGCTGAGTTTGGGTGTGGAAACTTAAAACTTCACTTGCTGCTATCTTCAATCATTTCCTTGAAGGGAACACTTGATTCATGCTGAAATGAACCATCACCACCAGTCTAAGGCCTTACGTGGAAAGGAATTAGAATATGTAGCTGATACCTTACACACATAGTAGGATGGTTTTTTCTAAGTAGTAAGTTTTTCTTCCAGTTCCAATTTCTTTTCAAATTTCCTTTAGGCAAGAGATCATAGGACGTAAGGATTTTTTTTAATTTACTATTTCTGTAGAACCAAACATCACCACAAATGTTCCAGCATGTTCGTGTGTCTGAATGTTTTTTCTGCCCATCCTGCAATACAGTAGCTGCCTATCATGAAAGAGTGCTTTTGTTTACCTTCTGTTAACAACTAGTAATGAATTCCCAAAATGACATTTTTATTTGCTCCTGTTTTCAGAGTCGTGGAGATTTGTGGAGGGCGTTAATAACATTTGTCTGGCCCCTAGACCTGCTTAGGGGAATGACCTCGCACTGGACCTTGCATCCCATGCGCACGAGAAGAACGAAACAACATAAATTCCATCTCAGTCTTCTGGGTGAGGAGAACAATATTCAACAGATCATAATTGTATTGGCTAAGTCCCTACCACACTCCTGAACCAGCAAGGTGGTCAGCTGCTGGGTAGCCCATCTGTCGTCATTAAGCTGTGTGTGTGTGTGTGTTTGTGTGTGTGTGTGTGTGTGTGTGTGTAAGCACACAATCTGGAACTACCAGTCTCCCAGCTACAGACCTACATCTGTGTGCCAGTGACCAGACAGTGTGTGTGTGTGTGTGTAAGCATACAATCGGGAACTATCAGTCTGTTGGGAGCCGGTGGCCATTAAGGCCTTAGCCTCAGCCAAGGAGCTGAACTTGGCTGCTTCCTGATTGTTAAGTGTTGTCTTTCATTTGCTAAATCTGTAGGGACTGGCCCTGCCTAAATTCCTGCCTCTGAGTTCCTAGCTACGTGCTCTGTAGCACGGGCAGTTGTAAAGTTGACCTTTTCACCCATTGGTTAATAATGCCAGGCGCTCATTGGAGCTTCTTTAATGTACATGTTGGATTGGATGTTGTGTCGCACACCTTATTAAAATATGCACCTCCCAGTTCACCCTTTTTCCCCCCCCCCTTTTTTTATACCCCAGCTTTGCCCAAATAAATGAGTTTGATCAGAGTTTTGTCTTGCTCCACGTTTCCGTGTCTTTTCTCCATCCAGGTTCGTCTTTCCCTGCAGGGCCTTGCTCGTGTGTCCCGCAGGCCGGGACGCAACACCAGTCTCCCAGCTACAGACCTACATCTGTGTGCCAGTGACCAGACAAATAGCATCGCAAATAGCAGCACATGATGGTAGAAAACTCCTGAAGCACAATTTCACCTCTTGCTCTGCCAGGCAACAGGCAACCTGCCGCATCCCCTCTCTGAGCATCTGTTCCTCAAATGAACAATAAAGGGATAAACCTTTATGGCATTGAGGGTCTTTCCAGTGCCAAGCCCAGGAAGCCCTGTGCTTCTGGATGAAGCAACAACTGCTGGAGGCCTGGCCACACCCTGACCAACCGGAAGCCTGCTTAGACTGCCCATTCTGGAAACCGAGGCTAAGGGATTCTGACTCCCCATACCACCACCACCTGTGGCATGAGCCAAGCAGCATGCACCAGTCATAAATGCCAGCATCTTGTGTTGCTGCAGAATGAATAATTCAGTGTCTCAGGGCAGCCTCTCGTCCGCCCATGGTTACCCCGAGAAGGCGAGAGACAGCTGGCAGGGGAGCATTTGCACACAGTTCCGGGCTCTCTCATCTTTCAGGCCCATATGCAGCCTTCCTGGCTGCCCTGGCCCATATGCTTGAGGGACTGGCATCCAGTCCCCTCTCATCAGGAAGAACTTTAGCCAGGTGGTTACAGGGAAGAGCAGCCTACCTGCCTGTCAGGTGGCACCAGAGCAGAGCACCCTGGTTAGGCCCTGGGAAATCCCGAAAGGATGGGTTCTTTGTGTGTGAATGCAGAATCTTCTCTGAGTTAGCGTGAGGGGAGGCAGGGATGAGCCGGAAAGAAGCGTTCTGGGTCACTGTGCTTCAATTCTTAAATTGCAATGAAGTTAAAACATGGAGATCTTACAGAGTCAAAGAAGAATAGAATTAGAGGCTCCAGGTGGCCATGTGAGTTACACATCAGGCTGCAACCCACAAGGGCAGTTCAAAACCTCCAACCACTCCTTGGGAAACAAAGTGGGACTTTCTATTCCCATAAGAGTTACAATCTTGGAAACCCACAGGGCCAGGTATGTTCAGTCCTATAGGGTCTCTATGAATCAGGTTCTCCATTGACTCAATGGCAGGGAATTTTTTGTTTAGTTTTAAAATGCCTTGCAATTACCAAGAAAAGCAATATTTTTAAAAAAATTAAAAAACAAAGAAAGCACTATTCTAGAGCTTCCTTCTTAAGAGAAAATCCCATCATTCTCAAGGGAGAGCGGCGGAAGGGAGGATTCAAACCCACAGATGAGCGCGTGAGAATGTATTCTGTTACTTGATCAGTCAACTAAATGGACAACAGTGATTACGGGGTAAGTAAAACCCCTTAGATAGACCTTGATGTTCGGAGGAAGACAACGGATAGGAGAGAAATGTTCAAATCTGTTTCCCTGCACATCAGTCTATCTGAATATAACAAATTAAGTCACCCTCCCATCCCCAACACACAGTCACCTTGATGACCCGACCACATTTTTTCCAGCTCAGGCCTCGCAGAGCCGGCGGGAGATTTGAACAAGGCTGCCCCCTCCTGGTGGTGCTTCTCCGTAAAGGCCTTCAAGTGTGTCCTTGTCTCTTGGATCACAGCAGGAGCATCAGAAAGTTGGTGGGAAAATGAAACGTTTTGAATCCCCTTTAATTAGGTGATGATGTGAGGAGCCGGAGGGGCAGAGGCCAGGGCAGTAGAAATGAAGCAGTCCACCTATCGTCCTAAGCCAGTCTCGTTCTTATGTCTCTGCCACTTCAGTTCCATGGGAGCCTGTGTTGGTGGGGAAGCGCCTTGGACAACAAGATGCATACATTCATTCCCAGTTATTGACACGCAGGATACCCTGGGTCTCCCTTCAGATTTCCCTCTTTAGAAAATTGCTGCCAGAAATGTTGACTCTTCCCTGCTCCCAGCTCTGCCCTGGAGTGATTGCTCTCAGCTGAGGGCACAGCATCCCCCAAGGTCACCCAAAGACAGCAGCCAGACACAAATCAGGGTAACTCTGAAACAGCTTCCCATTCTGTATTTCGGCCTCAGCTGAGGCCTCTGTTGCAAGTGACTTCCACGACTCCCTTGTCCCTTCTTGTCTTCCTCCCTTCCTTCCAGGTCTGCCTCCTGAGAGCACTAGCCAGTGGGCCTCTCACAAGCAACCCCCGGAGTCAGTCCTCAGGAAACCCAGTCTAGGAGCGTGAATGTGCCAATCAAAGCGGAGCAAGCCACCTATGCTTTGGGGTTGACAGTTTCTGACAACCGGCATAGCTTTCCTAGGAGTGCTCCCAGTAGGGAGAAGAAAAGTAGCGTTTGTACATGTTCCTGTACTCGTTCTGCATTGGAAGGAGGGTGGGGGGAATGATACGCTTTTAAAACAGAAAAACATGCGCCTTTGGAGTGCACAGTCTACCCAGGAGAACCTCAGCGTGCTCCCACCTCTGGGACAATGGTGCCCAGGACTCTGGCGGAACACTCTGTAGCAGAAGTGCCCGCTTGGCGCTGTTTAAATTGATGGTGAGGCGACGGGTCCCTCTTACCTCCAGGACGAGCCACAGCTGTCCGCCCACACAGCGATCCGCTTTGTAGAACATCCCGTAAAACTTGACAACGTTGGGATGATTAGGGAGAAATTGCAAAATGTTATATTCTGCCTCAATTTCTTCATCCATATCCTAAACAGGATTAAAAAAAAGGTGCATGCTGGATTAAATCTAATTACTATGTCAGAAAGGCCACTGCTATGACATCAAAGTAGTCATTAAGCAGAGCACACCTACTCTGCATTCTTAATATGCTGGCAACCCCTACCAGCGGATATTCAAATCCCAATGAAAACCTACTAAGAATCATAACAAAACATTTCCATTCTTGTTTTCTTTAGCAATTTTTCTTTTTTTTAATTTTCAAATGTCTGTGTTTTCAAAGCTGTTCAGGAGACTCTAACTCAATCCAGGTCATAATCTCACTATGCAAACAAGCAGCAGCAGGAGAACCAGTGTCCAGCGCTCTGACGGAAGCCTAAGATGATCACATACCACAAAGGGGGGTCCTTGTCTGGAGGATCATTTGAGTGGGCTGCATCACTCTTTGCAAGGAGATCGCTGTGGCAGGGACCAGCAGGACAGAAAAAAACAATAAAATGGGCCAGAGATATGAAAAGTCAGGGAAAGTTTTAATTCTCCGTGAAGCCTCTTCCATTCATGTGAACCAGAAAATTTTAAAGTGAAGGAAAATTCTAATTCCAGGTGAAGTCCCTTCCATTGCTTTTGAGATTTCATTAAAAATTATCTCTAGAACCAAGTAAAGAAGCTGAAAGATGAATGTGTACAAAATACCATTTGCCAGTTACTTACACTGATGGGATCCAGGATTTTGACTGCGGCCAGGCTGCCATCTCTCTTATTTGTCACCTTGTAGACTTTCCCATAGGTGCCTTTGCCAATAGTCTCTATAATTTCCCAGGTATCCGTGGGATCCGGAAGTGACTCGAGTCCAAGCATCATGGGGTTGTAGTGAAATAATCCACACAGATGTTTCCTGGTGAGGAGAAGCTTATTATGTACAATGGACTTCCAGGATTGGGGACAGTGGGCTTCCAAAGCAAGAATATTTCTAGTTCTCAACCAGCGACTAACCTTGTGGTACATTTCTTTTTTCTTCTCTAGTTTAGGTAGACGATAAAAGCATTGGAATATCTTAAAAGAAATGGAAGCCAGTGGCAGAGTGGACAGGATTCTAAAAGTAGAGATAATGTATACAGACTGCAGCAGGAGGGAGAAGGCAATGAGGAATCTCTAGTCGTGACCACTCAAGTCATTACCCATGATGTTCACAAGCTGCAGAGTGGTACTGGGGATAGAGAGACAGGCAAAAGGGTGCAACTGGAGGCCCTGCGTCTAAGATCCTGGCTCCCAGGATACTACACTTATAACTAGGGCTCCCTAGTGTCATTGGAAACCAGTCCGCAACATCTGTGGGCCAAGTCTAGGCACCAACCATCGATCAGTGCACAGCACCCACTAATAACCAGGTCTTGGGGCCTGCAAAAATCAGCCAAGGACAGACCCTATCCATACATACAGCAATAGCCATGTGTGGACATTCACTGAAGGGTTAACCAGGACCTCCACACACCCTTGGCCTCAGCAGCAGTCTGTCTGGTAGGAACACAGATTGCAACAGAAAGCCACAGCGGTGCCCCATCCCTACATGTTGGCTGTCCGCCCCAAGTGACCTCATGTGAGCACACCTCTGCCCACTTCTAATTTTAATTCTTCCCTAGATGGCATTTTCCTAAGGCATAGACATTTCATCTGGCACATGGACCCAATTTTTCTGCTTATCATTTCTGCTGGGAACATCTCAAAACCATTGAAAACCAATAGAAAATACAAATCACAATGCCTGGCACCAGGTAAGACCCTGCCTTTCCGGAGTACACCTGGTGGGCGCATACACCACAGAGGTGCCTGCCTCCAGCTCCCAAAGAGCCTCGGTCAGGTTCATGTGACATGTTTTAGCCAAAGCTTCGCCGTCAAGCGGCGTCTGCCTTTCACCGGCTGCTTTCAGGAGTCTGGTGAATGCTAACCTTCCCTCTTGGTCAGTGTTTCACAAAATCAATCTTTCTTACAATGCTTGCCATCTCTGTTCCACTCCTGGGCTGCTGTTTTAAAGGAGCATTATACTACTAACCCAAATGGAAAACCAGTGTCATTCTTGACCTGCCTCTTGACTGGCTGAAACTTGAGCCATGGTGGTGAGTTCATTTCCAGTCATGAAGGGTGACTAAGGGGCTCAGGGCTCCAAGGTCCACCAGTTCTGGCTAGTCAGCCTGGTGGGGTTTTTTTAAAATATTTTTTAAATTTTTGAGTCTTGTTCCACATTTCTCTCCCACTCTATCCAGGGTCTTCTCATATGATCCCCCTAAGAGCTGTGGGCAGTAGTAGCAGGGCACCATCTGCCTCTTCCGGTTTCAAGGTCATGGATACTATGTTGTGGGCGTAGTCCATTAGTTCAAGTCTATTGGATTAATTATTTCCATACGTCTTCAGTTTTCTTCACTCTTCTTTCCTCAAAGTAGGGAGAAGGCAATACTTGTACTTTCGCTTTTAAGATCACCATTGCTACTTACCAAAGTAGAATGCAGGTCATTGTCTGTGTGGACCTTGGTGTCCCCTGAGACAGGGTCCTGAGCCCCCAGACCCAATGACTCACTCCTTCAGGTTGTTTGGTTGGATCTAAGAAGTTTTCATAACTTTGCCCCCTGTATGCTCCACCACATATATAGATAGGTATGTTTGCATAAAGCTGCTCTTTCTTTAAAAAGGGAATTCAGCAAAGGACAAAGAAGAATTGAAGGCTCATATAGCCAGATCGTTCTACGATGTAGCCAGAGGACCCAAGGGAGTACTAGCATGGCCTCCATGTAATTGAGACTGTGGTTAAAAGTCGCCATCCATAAGCCTAATAGACAGCATCTCTGCTCCCCCTGAAAGAAGGGCAACTCGCCCGACAGGCTGCATCCACAGTCAGAACCAGTGATGGGGAGGGAAAGACAGACGATAGGGGTTTGCAGGCATGTCCATCACGTATCCTGTGGCCATTCACAGGCCAAACAATGGTGTAATGAAATAGGAGCAGTTACCAAGGTTGCCTGTCCTGTCTCTGTAAAATCAATAGCTGATTCTCTTAACTCTGACGATTGATTAAACAGTCAGCCCAAACCATGGCTGCTTCTACAGCTCCATAACGACAGGTACCCTGGTCTGCAGAGCGCAGCTGCAGGCCTGCTGAGGGCTGACAGACGCTCCTGGTCGGAACATCCACTCTGAGAGCAGACCACACAAGAGAAGGGCCCGGAAGTGTTTGAAACAAGAGCAGTGCTGCCTGGAACTTTGTCCCAGAACCTTTAGACGTCCCCAGGGTAGCGCTGGGATTTCTGCAGCCACGGAAATGGGAGTTTGCTCTGTATTCAACGGTGTCTTCACCAAACATACGTGTGGGAATCTTAACCTCTCACTCTGCCTACCCAGCTCATCTTGCTTGGAAATGGTGTTTTCTTTATGTTCATTGAGAAGTCCTGGTGCCCTGGTGGGTTACTAACCACAAGATCAGCAGTTCGAAACCACCACCGGCTCCTCTGGAGACGATAAGGCTTTCTAGTTCCATAAAGAGGTACAGTCCACAGGGGGTCCTCCAAGGTTGCTCTGAGATGGAGTAGATAAACCCTAGTCGGTGGGATCTGAATCTAATCACATCTGAGTAATAAGAACAGCGGGTTAGACAGAGATCTGTTCACACAGGGAAGACATCTGAGGCACAGCCAGGAGCCCAGGGGTGCTCCAGGGCCACCCACAGGGAAGGAATCAATGTGGCCAAGCCCCTGGGATAAAAGAAGTCCTGTTCTTTAAAGTCACTCGCTTCGGTGTTAGCTCCGGCCGCCCTAGAGGACGAAGACAGCGCTCTATGCACCTATTGGGATATGCAATGCAAGGGTGACTTCGGGCACCTAGAGAACTTCGGTTGCATGGTTATACTCACTGACAGACAGAAAGGAAGACTAGGTCGATCTACAGGACCCCTGGTGGCACCATGGTCACTTGTTGGGCTCGTATCCATTCGTCGGAGCTCAAAATCAGGGACAAAGACGGGGTTGTCTACTCCCAGAAACACGCCAGCCTGGGAACCTCACGGGGACAGTTCTATCCTGTCCTATACAGCCTCTAGAGTTGGAAACGACTCGGTGGCAGTGGGTGAGGTCCCTCTGGGCAGAGGTGGGAGAAGGCAGGTGTCCCCATGGGATGTTCGCACCCACCAGATGTCCTGTGTGAGAGGCTGCTCTGAAGGGAAGACGGTGAGTGCACGTCTGCCTGCAGCAGTGTTAGGTAAACTGATGCTGCAGAGGCATTTGTCACCAAAGTCAACTTGCTCAGAGCAAGATTCCAGTGCCTCGCCTAAGACCGCAGTCTCCGGGCCCTTCCACTACCAGAAACAGCCAACGGAGGCCATTACCTGGAAAAGATTCCTGTTTGTACATCAAGAGAATGTAATTGTTAAGAGGGATATTTCCCACCTTTGTGCTCACATCAGTATTAGCCACCCATCTAGAAAATACACAAACTTCTCATACTCAAGCCGCACGAGAGAGAGATGGATATTTAGTAACACTGGTTTACGCTTACATATTCTCTTGGAACTTAAGAACATAGGTCTTTTTTGTTTTGCTTTGGTTTTAGAAGGCAAATTCCAGAAGGGCAAAGAACATATCTCTTTCAGGGGTGTTGAGAAAGTGATCCTTAATAATATTCTTACTGCTGATAGCTACCAGTGTTCTGAGAATGACTGGTTTGCTACTAACAGCAAAGAGAAGCGTTCTGTCACCTGGAGCTCAGCAGCAGGTCCGGGGTTGTCACCAGAGAGGGGTGACTTGCTAGTCAGACATCACACTGGCTCCCACATGGGGCTATAAACCAAGAGAACCACCAGAGTGGGTGTCTAAAGATGTCCGTGAGAGTTTTGGTCTCAATCATCAGCAGAGGATATACTTTAAAAAATAAACCATTAAGTATTTCCCTCCTTGACTCTGTCAACCCTTATAATGTGTAGAGGTTTGGATTCTGCAGACTTCTAACATCGCAAAAAGATAGAAAACTAGACATTATGCTTCTTGTAGATTCCATTATCAATTTACAGGCATAACAGTGGAAGAATGAAATACTCAACAACACGAATAAGCAAAATCCAGAAGACTGTAGAAAGCTCTAATTCAATGACCCAGAGATAAATTACAACTAAAGAGAAAAAGTCATTGGCAGGAGTAACTTCAATATTAGGAGAATAGTCAAATACATACCAAATGTGAACTACAATAGGCTTCAAAAAGTTTAGGGGGGAAGTGCCATGATTTTTTTAATCCATTTTCCATGAACTTTTAAAAGCCCCCTGGTGAGATCTACATTCACACAAGCAAGCTGCAGACATTGTAACATGTATGAGCTATCTAGAACACTGATTAGGTATTTGATGACACTGGATGGCAAGGCTCGCGGTTCAAACCCACCTGCTTCTATGAAGATTCCAAAGAAGCCTCTATGGAACAGTTCCACTCGGTAACACACGAGCCATAATTGGAATGGACTCAGTGGCAAAGGTCCAGTTCATCGTGGTGTGTTGATGATTGTTGTGAATTGTTTTGAGATGATCGTTGTATTTGTAGCTATGTTTTAAAAGAAAAGCTTCTTTTTCTAGGAAGACTCACTAAAGCATTCCTGGGTGAAATAATAGGATGTCTGGAATAAGATATAAGAGCGGAGAAAGTACGAAGGGGCATGTGGCAGTCCCACAATCTGTCAACTTGAGCGAAAGGGTGGAGTCTAACCCATCAATCAGGTCGCAGTTTGATGACGTCATTGGGAGATGCTATGGCGATAAATAGCTCACTGGAGGCCGGACCCAGTCTCTCTGCCTTCCCTTTCCTGTGGTTGAGACACTCAGAGAGCTGGAGGAGACACGTGGAGACCCACGCCAGCATCCAGACC